AAAAAAAAACATTTCAGTAACATAACTAACCTATTATTTTTTCATAGTCAAGGTTACCACTCTATTTTTAGTAACTTCTTGTTTTGTATTAATTTTAGATTTGTAGAAAAATTGCAAAGATAGTACAGATAATTCCCATGTTAGTTCATTTTCATGCTGCTGATAAAGACATACCCAAGATTGGGAAGAAAAAGAGGTTTAATTGGACTTACAGTTCCACATGGCTGGGGAGGCCTCAGAATCATGGTGGCAGGCAAAAGGCACTTCTTACATGGCAGCGGCAAGCAAAAATGAGAAAGAAGCAAAAGCAGAAACCCCTGATAAGCCTATCAGATCTCGTGAGACTTACTCACTGTCAAGAGAATAGTACAGGAAAGACCGGCCCTCAGGATTCAGTTACCTCCCCCTGGATTCTTCCCACAATAGAATTCCTGGGATTCTATTCCCGGGAATTCCGGGAGATACAATTCAAGTTGAGATTTGGGTGGGGACAGAGCCAAACCGTGTCATTCCACCTTTGGCCCCTCCGAATCTCACGTCCTCACATTTCAAAACCAATCATGCCTTCCCAACAGTCCCCCAGGGTTTAACTCATTTCAGCATTAATCCCAAAAGTCCACAGTCCAAAGTCTCCACTGAGACAAGGCAAGTCTCTTTCACCTACAAGCTTGTAAAATAAAAAGCGAAGTAGTTACTTCCCATATACAATGGGGGTACAGGTATTGGGTAAATACAGCCATTCCAAATGAAAGAAATTTGCCAAAACAAAGGGATTACAGTGCCCATGCAAGTCCGAAATCCAGTGGGGCAGTCAAATTTTAAAACTCCAAAATGATCTCCTTTGACTCTACGTCTCACATTCAGGTCACACTGATGTAAGAGGTTGGTGCTCTTGGGAAGCTCCGGCCCTGTGGCCGGGAGGCAGGGTACAGCCTTCTTCCTGGCTTCTTTCACAGGCTGGCGTTGAATGTCTGCGGCTTTTCCAGGTGCATGGTTCAAGCTGTCGGTGGATCTACCATTCCGGGGTCTGGAGGACGGTGGTCCTCTTCTCACAGCTCCACTAGGCAGTGTCCCAGTAGGGACTCTGTGTGGGGGCTCCGACCCCACATTTCCCTTCCGCACTACCCTAGCAGAGGTTCTCCATGAGGGCCTCGCCCCTGCAGCAAACTTTTGCCTGGGCATCCAGGCATTTCCTTACATCTTCTGAAATCTAGGCAGAGGTTCCCAAACCTCCATTCTTGACTTCTGTGCACCCACAGGCTCAACACCACTTGGAAGCTGCCAAAGCCTGGGGCTTCCACCCTCTGAAGCCACAGCCCAAGCTGTATGTTGGCCCCTTTCAGCCACTGCTGGAGCAGCTGGGACACAGGGCACCAAGTCCCTAGGCTGCACACAGTACGGGGGCCATGGACCTGGCCCGTGAAATCACTTTTTCCCCCTAGGCCTGTAGGCCTGTGATGGGAGGGACAGCCATGAAGACCACTGACATTACCTGGAGACATTTTCCCCATTGTCTTGGGGATTAACATTGGACTCCTTGTTACTTATGCAAATTTCTACAGCCGGCTTGGATTTCTCCTCAGAAAATGAAATTTTCTTTTCTTTCGCATTGTCAGGCTGCAGATTTTCCGAACTTTGATACTCTGCTTACCTTATAAAACTGAATGCCTTTCACAGCACCCAAGTCACCTCTTGAATGCTTTGCTGCTTAGAAATTTCTTCCACCAGATACTCTCAATCATCTCTCTCAAGTTCAAAGTTCCACAAATCTCTAGGGCGAGTACAAAATGCTACCAGTCTCTTTGCTAAAGCATAACAAGAGTCACCTTTGCTCCAGTTCCCAGCAAGTTCCTCATCTCCATCTGAGACCACCTCAGCCTGGACCTTATTGTTCATATCACCATCAGCATTTTTATCAAAGCCATTCAGCTTTGACAAACTTTCTCACATTTCCTGTCTTCTTCTGAGCCCTCCAAACTGTTCCAACCTTTGCCTGTTACTCATTTCCAAAGTCGCTTCCACATTTTCTGCTATCTTCAGCAACCTCCCACTCTACTGGTACCAATTTACTGTACTAGTCTGTTTTCACTCTGCTGATAAAGACACACCCAAGACTGGGAAGAAAAAGAGGTTTAATTGGACTTACAGTTCCACATGGCTGGGGAGGCCTCAGAATCATGGCAGGAGGTGAAAGACACTTCCTTTTTTTTTTTTTTTTGGGGGGGTGGAGTCTCGTTCTGTCGCCCTGGCTGGAGTGCAATGGCACAATCTTGGCTCACTGCAGCCTCCACAATCTTGGCTCACTGCAGCCTCCACCATCTTGGCTCGCTGCAGCCTCCACCTCCCAGGTTCAAAGGAATCTCCTGCCTCAGCCTCCTGAATAGCTAGGACTACAGGCACGTGCCACCACGCCTGGCTAATTGTTTTTGTATCTTTAGTAGAGACCTGTCTCTATCTTTAGTAGAGACCATGTCTTTCACCATGTTGGCCAGGCTTCCAGGCTTGTCTCAAACTCCTAACCTCGTGATCCACTCGCCTCGGCCTCCCAAAGTGCTGGAATTACAGGCGTGAGCCATCGTGCCTGGCCTGAAAGATACGTCTTACATGGTGGTGGCAAGAGAAAATGAGGAAGAAGCAAAAGTGGAAACCCATGATAAGTCCCTCAGAGACTTATGCACTATCACGAGAATAGTATGGGAAAGACTGACCCCATGATTCAATTACCTCCTCCTAGGTTCCTCCCACAACATGTGGGAATTCTGGGAGATACAATTCAAGTTGAGACTTGGGTGGGGACACAGCCAAACCATATCAACACCTCACCCACTTTCTTTCGTTATTTAATTTCTTATATTACCATGCTGCATTTGTAAAAGCTAAGAAACCAACATTGATATGTTACTGTTAATGAAACACCAGACTTTATTTGAATTTTACCAGTTTTTCTATTACAGTCCCCTTTCTGTTCCAGAATCTAATCTGGGGTACCACATTGCATTGAATCATCATGCCACCTTAGTCTTTGGTCTGTGACAGTTCCTCAGCCTTTCCTTATTTTTTATGACCTTTACGTAAGTCTTGAGTACTGGCTAGGTATCCAATCTGGATTTGTCTGTTGTTTTTCTCATGACTAGACTGGGGTTTTGGGTATTGGGAAAGAATACCACAAAGGTAAAGTACCCTTATCACATTATATCAAGGAGTGCGTGCTATCAACACGACACCACTGATAATATGAACCTTCTTGGCTTGGTTGAGGTATTACTGCATTTGCTGGTTTTCTCAACTATCATGTTGCTAGTTTTCTCTACTATGATGTTAATATTTTTCCCTTTCCCTGTTCTATTATTTGGAAGCAAGTTACTAAGTATAGCCCACCCTCATTTTGGGCAGGGAGGGTGGTTTTGCTCTACTTTCTGTAATGGAGATGTTTTCGGAGTTCCTAAAACCACCTGCAGGTTCAGTGATTCACTAGAAGAACTCACAGAAGTCAGCGTATGGCCATACTTGTGGCAAGCTTTGTTGTGGCAAAAGAGTACAAAGCAGTGTCAGCAAAGGGAAAAGGTGCTTGGGAAGCAGTCTGGAGGAACCCGGGTAGAAGCAGTCTAGAGGAACCCAGGTAGAAGTGTCCAAGAGTCCTCCCCCCGTGGAGTCACACAGGATGCACTGAATTCCCCTTGTGACAAGTTGTGACAGCACATGTTAAGTGTAATCTTACAGGGAAGCTTGCCTGAGCCTAGGTGTCCAGGGGTTTTACTGGGGACTGGTCAAGGAGGCATCCTCTGCCTGGCATGTACATTTTCAGACTTCCAGAAGGAAAGAGGTATTCAACATTAATCACATTGTTTGTGTAAACCAGGGGTGTCCAATCTTTTTGCTTCCCTGGTCTACGCTGGAAGAAGAATTGTCTTGGGCCACACGTAAAACACACTGACAGTAACAATAGCTGATGAGCTAAAAAAGAAAAAGTCACACAAAAAATCTCATAATGTTTTAAGGAAGTTTTATAATTTGTGTTGGGCTGCATTCAAAACCGTCTTGGGCCGCTTGTAGCCCATCTGCCGCGGGTTGGACAAGCTTGGTGTAAACCATTCAGGCACAGTGAACCACTTTTGTAATTTATGGAAGGGTTTTATACCAACATAGGGAACTGTTTACTAGTCAAGTTTCCAGCCCCAAGCCAGGGCCAACCGTATGAGGAGGTCTTTCTAATGATAATAGCCTCAGGCCTTCAGTGTTCTTTTCTATATAGGGAAGTATCTACATATTACTTTTACTACCCATTTTTATTTTGAGAAAAAAAAAGGAATCAGATAAAAAATATAGCATATAATAATAGAAGCTATATGATAGTAAGAATGACAAAATGAAATTTAAGATCAGATCAGGGGTGTTTAATTTCCTTCTAATAAAATATGTGGCAATCTGGGCCATTTTTCTGGTTCTTTTAGTATTTCTCTTGCCAATTTTTTAACATTGCTATAAAAATATTACTCATATTGCAACTTTTGGAGCATTTCATAATTTTAAAAATGCCTCTGGGTTATGAGGCATAAATTTTATGCATAAATTTTCAGTAATAAGTCATAACCTAACAACCAAAACCTGGGTGGATATCTTAGAAAGTAATTACTAAGATTTAAGACACAATATGCTGGGCATGGTGGCTCCAAACTGTAATCCCGGCGCTTTGGGAGGCCAAGGTGGGCAGATCACAAGGTCAGGAGTTTGAGACCAGCCTGGCCAATATGGTGGAACCCCATCTCTACTAAAAGAAAAAAATTACAAAAATTAGCCAGGCATAGTGGCTGTAGCCTGTAGTCCCAGCTACTTGGGAGGCTGAGGCAGGAGAATCACTTGAACCCAGGAGGTGGAGGTTGCAGTGAGCTGAGATCACACCACTGCACTCCACTCTGGGTGAGAGAGTGAGACTGCATCTCAAAAACAAAAAAAAAAGAAAAAGACACCATATTTATTAGTCATTTACTTTCTTTTAATAGGAAAAGCGTGGTCTTCGAGAAATGCGAGTTCTTGAAAATTTGAAGAATATGATCCATGAAACAAATGAACATACTCTTCCCAAATGTAGAGACACAATGCGGGACAACCTCAGCCAAGTTCTCCAGAGATGTGAGTTAGCGATTTTTTTTTTAATTGCTTTTCATTTCAAATGAATGCTACACCACAATGTATTTTCTTGGGTATTATGGTGAGAAGTGGAGAGGGAAAGTTCTTAACCTGGATATATGAGAAGGAAGCTCAGTTACAGAGAAAGTGGTTTTCTAGTGATTAATGTGTGTTGCCATTAATTAATCTCCAAACAGCATTAATCTCCAAAGTGAGTTGTGTGCATCTGTGGTACACGAGACAGTCTGTTTAGTATGTGAGAAAGTCAAAATATTTTTCACCTATTTTTACAAATTTTTCTTTTTTTTTTTTGGAGGCACAGTCTCACTCTGCCTCCCAGGCTGGAAGGCAGTGGTGGGATCTCAGCTCACTACGACCTCCGTCTCCCAGATTCAAGTGGTTCTCGTGCCTCAGTCTACTGAGTAGCTGGGACTACAGGTGTGTATCACCACGCCTGGCTAATTTTTTTGTTTTTAGTAGAGATGGGGTTTCACCAAGTTGGCCAGGCTGGTCTCGAACTCCTGGCCTCAAGTGATCCACCTGCCTTAACCTCTCAAAGTGCTGGAATTTTTTACAGGCATGAGCCACCATGGCCGTCCTATTTTTACAAAAAAAATTTATATATATATATATAAATATATATAATAAATTTATATATATATATATATATATATATATATTTATATATATATATAAAATTTGAGGCTGGGCACGGTGGCTCATGCTTGTAATCCTAGCACTTTGGGAGGCCAAGGCAGGCAGACCACGAGGTCAGGAGTTTGAGACCGACCTGGCCAATATGGTAAAACCCCGTCTCTACTAAAAATACAAAAATTAGCCAGGCGTGATGGCACGCGCCTGTAGTCCCAGCTACTTGGGAGGTTGAGGCAGAAGAATCCCTTGAACCCAGGAGGCGGAGGTTGCAGTGAGCAGAGCGAGATGCCATCTCGGAAAAAAAAAAAAAAATTGATGACCAGGAACTGGGAAGATCTGAGATGAAACTTCTTTTTCACACAGGGGACTAGAGGTAGCTTTATTTAGAAAATAATGTTTTCATAAATGTTTATACTTTATCACTTTTTTTCATTAAGTAAAATATTTTAATGTGGAGAGATAGTTGATCAAAATGAATATTTTTAATATCAAACCATAACAAAATAAATAAAAGTTTTATTAGTAACTGATTTAGAAATTTGAAGTATTTAAGAAAATCCAGATTTATATTGCCAATATTCAGCTTGTCCAAGTGTTGTGCAGGAAGGAATTCAAGAGCAACAAGTGGGGATAACGCTGGTAAATAATGATGGGTTACTGAAGTATAAAATGGAAACAGATCTTTCTGAAGGGGAAGAAAAGCCAAAAAAAACCCCATGAAAAACAAAAAAACTGACCTGCAGTAGAATGGCTGGTGAAGAAAGGCAGCAGAGAGATCTTGGTTAATAACTGAATTAAATAAGTCTTTGTGTCCAGGTCCAAGTTAATGCTCTTGTGTACTCTAATGCTAAAAGGAGGTTGGAAAACATAGATCTCCCAGGTCACATTTGGTTTCTCGGAGTGGAAGAGCAGAAGTATAAAATTGGCCTTAGGCTTTTGCATTTTACAACAAACATGCCCTCATTTGTTCATAACCACATCCTTAACCCTGTCAAACATTCTAGTTAGCATGCTAAAAGGAAAACTGCAACAGTTATCAATAAGATGTTTACGTATGCCTTGCAGACATGCATACACCTTTCCTTTTCCACATTGTAAGTATATAAAACTAAATTTTGTAAAACTGAGTGAAAACTATTTTGACTTACTTCATTCTGGGGCTAAAGTTATTGAAGATGTGAGGACGAGCCTCTTAAAATTACGGTCTTCTCAGTGAAGTACAAAAGTATTACTGATAATTTACAATCCAGATTAAGTGCATTTTCTTGAAAGGCAGAATTAAAACATAAAAATGTGAAGTTAGTAATTGAGGTTCCATTGTGTGTGGAATACATTGGGTCTTGCCAGCTGTAGAAACCAGGCAATGGCTTTCCAAACAGTTTTCTGCTGGAAGCAGGAAAAGTTTCTGTAGTAAGCTCTGACAGAAGTATTTTCTTGTACCTTTTATTGCTGAGTGTCACTGCCTTTAAAACTGATGTAATTTTGAAAATTAGTCTGGGCCAAGCTGTCTTTCATGGCAAATTTCATGTTTAAAAGTGACATTTTAAATTATGTATTGACTTGTTTATTTTCACTACTAATCGATCTGGGAGTTGTGCAAAATCATTTAAGCAAGTTTATGTATAGAATATATTGATCTCAGTATTTAATAGTACAAGACTATTGATAAGTTGGGTTTCATTTTGTGCTTTTTAGTAGAACCATCACATTTATCTCTTCATATACGTGTTTGACACTATGTGTGTGGTCAGCTGTGCCTCTCAGAACACTACAAATGTGGGTCTTACACATTGTTCTGACATTGTGCACAAAACTAACAGATGAAGGGCCAAGAAGGTGGGACCATCTAGAATTCTCTGAATGGAGACCTAGTACAGAACTCAGCTTGGAACCATTTCTGCTTTTGGCTGCATTGCCACCTACTTTGCAGAGTGTCCTGAGATTAGGTGAGCAGAGGCTTTTTAGAACCAAAACTCTTCTGTAGTTCCTTAAGAACCACAAAAAAGTAAATAGGAGGTCCATCAAGGTATGTAAGAGCAATCCATAAAGTAACTTGTTATGAAGATATAGCCATTACCTTTTTTTCAACATAGAACAAGGTGTCTGTGTTCTATTTATTAATTATTTAATAGACTTGTAAATTTCACCACGTTTGGTGTCAGGAGATCTTGTCTTAGTATCAAGGATTCAGCCTTTGATTTTTAGAGAGTAAGGAGGATGGACAGCTTCTAGGTTATTCCTCATTCGAATAAACTAACATGACCATAATAAAAGAATATCCCCTCCCTCCTTGTCTCCCTCTCTCTTTTTAAGAACAGTGACTTTATTTTTGCATTATTTAAAAGTAAAACCTAATGTATTTTAGTAATAAGCAAAAAATAAAGAAGAAAATAAATCGTAAAAAGAAAGAAACAGGCCAGGCATGGTGGCTCACACCTGTAATCCCAGCACTTTGGGAGGCCTAGGCTGGAGGATTGCTTGAAGCCAAGAGTTCAAGACCAGCCTGGGCAACAAAGCAAGACACCCTCTCTCTACCAAAAAAATTGAAAAAAATTAACTAGGTGTGGTGAGGTGCACCTCTAGTCCCAGCTACCTGGGAGGCTGAGGTGGTAGGATTGCTTGAGCCCAGGAGTTCAAGGCTGCACCAAGTTATGATGATGCCACTGCACTCCAGCCTGAGCAACAGAGTGAGATCCTGTCTCTAACCAACAGCAACAACAGCCAACAACAACCTACTTTAAAAAGCTGTTGCTTTTTAACTTTGGTGAACACCATTCCAGGCATCTTTATGTGTATTCAAGAACGATGTATGGAGAATGATAGCTGGATAAATGAGCAGGGGAGAGGAGAAGTTGGGGGGAAGGTATGAGAGGGAGAGAAAACATTTGATAAGAATGGGATCATATAACTTTTAAGTTAAAGTATTAACTTTAATTTCATTTGAATTAGAACAAAAATTAAAGTAAAATGGAAGACAGTACCTTGAAACAAGTACTTCGTACCATCAAATATAGTAGTTACTAAAAGATCATTATGAGGAAAATAATTATAGAAAACAATTCAAAGTTGTAGTCATGTTGTTTCTGTTCATTTGTATTATGTTCAAATTGTTAGTAGCATTAATTAATGCCTTGCCATGAGAGATGGAGGATTTTCAACCCTCCCTTCCTGCCACTCTTCCACTACTCTCTCACTTGTGAATTTAACTTTGTCAGGGTTTATAATACTTGCTTTCTGTTCTACAGTTAAAATTCTGCCAATGTTTAGTTGTAGACAATTCAATTCCTTTTTTTTAGGCTGAATTGCAGGGGTGTGGTCACGGCTCACGCAGCCTCGACCCCCTGGACTCAGGTGATCCTCCCACCTCAGCCTTCCACATAGCAGAGACTACAGGTATGCGCCACCATGCTGGCTAATTTTTTCGTAGAGACAGGGTTTGCCATGTTGCCCGGACTGGTCACAAACTCCTGGGCTCAAGCAGTCCGCCTGCCTCTGCCTTGCAAAGTGCTGGAGATTACAGGCATGAACCACCACAACCAACCTGATTCAATTCCTTTGTTTCTGATTTTATTTATTGTATCTGTAATGATGTTGTTACAGTTCTCTGTTTCCTTAGCTTTGTAGTTTCATTTTTCATTTCATTCTGTATTTTTATCATCAGGTTTGATCACATTTATTGAGCTTATAATGCTACTTTGTATTGCAAAGGACTTATAGAGACTTTTATTAGGTTTTCTTCCAGGATGGATACTTTGTCTTATCTGTCTTTCATATGTTCTTTTCCTTTCTTTCCTCTCCCCTCCCCTGTCTGTTTTTCTACAAATTAAAGCGTATTAGAGTTCTAACAATTTTGTAATAGAGTCGGGGTTTCACCATGTTGGCCAAGATGGTCTCAATCTCTTGACCTCGTGATCCACCTGCCTCAGCCTCCCAAGGTGCTGGGATTACAGGCATGAGCCACCAGGAATCTCAGTTCTTGACTACAATCTGTGTTCCTATTCTTGGTTACTACTTTTCAAAGTTTATTGTATGCAATTATAATTCTTTACTGTTTAGTAAATGGTGAAGTATTTTACCTTTTAAAAAACTTTGTTTTGAGAGTCATCTAAGGGACTGTTTGTGTGATTTTGCTTCACTCTGCCATCTTTACCTAGAAATCTTTAAGAACACACTGTAATTTAAAATACAAACTAATTTATATAGCACTTTACTAGTTAGACTTTTCACCTGTATTTTTTCATTTTTTTCTCATAACCCAGTGAAATAAGTGTTTATCATCTTCCCTGCCTTATAGTTGAGAAAACTGAAATTTATAGTGGTTGAACACTCCAGATTCTCCAATAATAATT